GGAGAATGGGAAATGCCACCGGTTCCGGGGTAGTTCCATGGCAACCCCTGTGCTGGCTAAGTGTAGAGCAGGGGCAGTCCCATGGATCCTGGAAATCTGCTTCTCTACTCCACATTCCTACTCTCTGCTGTGCCACGATATGCAAAAGAACCATCAATGTAGAAAAGGTGCATGAAAGCCTTTCTGGAAGCTCACTTTCTTAGTCTCCTTTTGTGGAGACACCGGATAGCCAAGAAAGAAACCACAGAATTTCTTTCACTCTCCACACAGCATTAAGAGAATCTTCATCTCTGGCTTTCTGAAAACAGGAATGCAGACGTCTCTAGGGACAGGGGGAGACTAAGTGAAGTCCACATGTTTGCAAAGCATAGAGTGAAGCACGATGAAGAAAACTCCTAAGGCGATGTTGGTGAACCTTTTATGAAGTTCTCCAGCTCTTCAAATATGATGCTATTTTAAAGGTGTTTTATACATTCCGTGTGTTTTTGTCTTCCTAAGGGCAGACCTCCTGACTAAAATGTGCATAAGCTCTCCTCTTGTTCTCATCCTCAGATATCTCCCTGTTGTTCCCTCACCTGGACTGAATGAAATTTATGTCATTTAGCAGTCTGAAATTCTATTTCTTTTCAGTAAAAAGCAACTATCAAGTATCCATTCTTACTGGAAAATTGCTTGACTTTAGTGGAGAACAAATCTTGCACTCCCAAATTTGAAATATCATTTATATAGGTGAGAAATCCTCCATAAGTACATAGTTAGTCTACTTGTATTCATCTGTATTTTCAAGAGGTGTAAATTTTCTGAGGTGCAAAAGTATGAAACAAGCATGATCTGAAAAATACCAGTAGTAGAATAAAGCCACCACTTCAATAGGACCCTACAGCCAGCCCTGCTACTGAAGTTACCAGCAGCCCTTCAAATAAGAAGTTATTGCTCCATGCCTGTAAAACTAAGGACATGTGACAAAAGAAAAAAACTAACAAACAAAATGTCGGCTTAAAAAAAAAAAAAGAGTTAAGAAATGCCCCAATTATCAAATGAAATATTTATTACTAAGAAACAAATGCAGGTAGGTGGAAGACTGAAGCAGCTCTTAACTAACTGTAAATATCTGACTATATTTTGATTATTGCCCACAGCTCATCACGTTTGCTGAACTGGGATACTTTTCCTAAGAGACTCTATTCTTAAGAGCTCTTTTCTCCTTCCTCCCAACAAAAATCAGCACATTTCACCAGAAACACTTCTCAGTTCTCACAGGTGCAGCTTGAAGGCGAGAGGGGAAAATCACCAGCTTTACAAATTGGAAAACAAATCAAACAAACAACAAACAACCCACATATAAGATTAAGAATTTGAAGCGGCTTCCAAAGGATCTCGACCATTGTTTTAAAAATGTACCATCAGCTTGGGTTCCTGGGAACAGTTAATGTAGGAGTTCTGTTTCATTCCTCACACAAGCATGCAGAGCTATCAATTTAGGAATACAAATGCATGCAAGAGAAAATTCAACGTCCACTGCTAATTTGATCTTTGAAGCTGCTGCTATCATTGGAAAATATAATGACGTAAATCAGTCTTAAAAGGATGCTACTTTTGGCAAAATGAATATATATCCATTAAAATATCAGTTGAGACTGACCACTCATTTAAATGAAGTCTTTTTTGGGACTTGGCAAATCCAAAGCGGTGACTTGGAAGTGAAAGGATACTTAAGAAACTCTGGAATCATTTCAAGCTCCAAACAGGGAGCATCACAATTGCCTAGACATGACATCATGGCAAATTAGGAAACAAACAAAAATTACTGAGCAAAGAATGGACATGATGAGTTACTTCAAGTCTTCACCCAAGCTTGCAATTCAAAGGAAAAAAAGCATAATTAATTCCTACAGACTCTCAGGTTGCCATTTGTACTCAAGGTATTTAAAGAAACAGATGAGGAAGCATAAAGATTACAAACCATTCAAATTCTGTAAATCTACTTGGATATCACTGAACCTTTTCCCACTCTCAGCTCACTTTGTATCAGATACAACAAATCTTTCATATATTGATTTATTTCCAGTTTCTATAATCAGAACAGAGATTCTGCAAGGCCCTTTTTCAGATAATACATGTTAAAGACAAGAGAATACAAACAAGAATCTTATTTACATTACCTTCAAAACAGACTCCTAAGAATGCAGAATCCAATACTTATTAAACAATTAAATGTTGTGACCACATAAAACAGTTGTGATATATACTATGTGGCTCTTAGAGTACAGCTGTTTGTGAACTACCTCTGAATAAGTCTGGGACAGAAGGAAGCTATAATGAAACTGATGGTGCTTTGGCTAACTGTCTGGTGTTGCCAGACTTGAAAGAAAATTCAAAGGCTTCAACAGCATGTGGGGGCTCTCAGGTCAGGCCAGAGCAGTCTCCATTTACTGCACTCTCACATATCATTCTGGCCAACAACAAAAAAATGCTGGCATGTTAATGTTATGTCCAAGACTTGGGATGTGAATCATATAATCATAGAACAGCATGGGTTGGAAGGGACCTTAAACATGTAAGCAACAATTCAAATGCAGTACTATGCTATCACTGGAATAGTACATTTACTTTGGAAAAATGATAGTGTGAAGTATTTTAAAGTTGCACTCTGTCTACAAGGTCACTGCTCCCTAACATTATAGAATATATTCCCAGAAAATTATTTCCTGCACACACACCATCTTCTCTCAGATGAGTGAGGCAGGGCTCCTCCATGAGAAGAAACCTTCCATCTTGCTCTTTTAGTATAATAGTTAAAGTTACCAGCCATCACAGAGGCAAACCAAACAGACTAAGCTCTGAAGTATTCTGAATTATAAGAACTTTTTATCCAATACTGCACTGTAATACAGCTAAAGGAAACACAATGCATTTTGGAATTTAAAAAAATGAATATTATTCTTACTTTATAGAAGCCCATGTATTGAAAAGCAGAACTTCAGATTCAGGGTCAGCTGCCTGAACACAACTTTTATTGCAGTTATGGCACTGTTTGGGCAGCAAGGACTATGATATTTGGCTATACAAATATATGAAGCATGAATAGCAACAAGGAAGCAAGATTTCCTGCTTCTGTAAAGAATACACCAGAACACAATGCAGATTAATGGAATACTGGAGATGTTCATGGAGGAAAGGAACTAAAAGGTTGAATGACAAGTTTTATACTGTGAGACTTAGATGGGTTAGCGGATTATAAGCACTTGCTGACGGTCAACAAATAGTTGTACACAACAAAGAAGCTAGTTGTAAAGGAAGAATAGGTCTCTTCAACCTTGCTGAAAAAAGCATAGCAAGAAAAAGCGTCAGGATGCTGCTACTTAGGGAAAAGCACTATTCCAAGAAAAGATGCAATTTCCTAACTGAGGGGGCAATTAATAAGAAAAATGACTATCAAGGAAAATGATCTAATCCTTGAAGTTTCTGAAGTCAGATTACATGCCATTCTAAAATTATAATTAAACTCAGCTGCAGGAAAAGTACTATTGCTGAAAGGTTTGCAAAAGTTTTCTTCAGTCTTGAAGAAAGTTTTTATCTTTTTGAGACCAGACACCGGGGCTAATAGAATGTAAAAGGGACATATCACCATACAACTCATTGGTTCTTAAGTAACCTCTATGCATACAAACTTGGCACTGTGAGAAACAGAATACCAAGCTAGGCAGACCTTTGACCTGACCTAGCGCTGCTTCTCTTCATCCCATTTTCTTCAGAGATTACAATTAAATTAGAACAGCTCTGTAAAACCTCACGATCATAATATGATCATACTCATAACACTGGCAGCTCTGCTTTAAAGACAGTGAGTGTACCAGGTCACACATGCAGAGGTCAGCAATACTTTTTTATGATTATTGTTTGCAGGTATATATATTTTGCATCTTTCTTTCCAATTATTACCATTATCTTTCCAATTTTTACCATTTCTCTGAGTTGGTACAAGAAGTCTCCTTTCCAGGTATGCCAGCTGATACATTATTCTCAACACACTGAAATCACACTAACAGCCACGTTTGCACTTGAGATGGAATTCTACCCCCATCAAAGCTGGGAAGCACGTTTTGTCTCCACAAGTTGGTAAGTCACCTGACTGCAGGCTAGACATGCATGGGTGTCCAGTGACAGTTCAGTCACATATGCCTGTGACACAGTTTGCTTCCTTAAAGAACAAGATGCCTTGGTGTAGTTGAGATAGTCTGTTCTCTCTCTGTGCTGAATTCTATTCTTGTACTGGGTAAAAATTAATGGTCTCTGATAATTTTGCTTTCTTTATAGCAAGTAGTCCCTTATGTTTTTTGCCCTAAGCAGCAGCATCATATTTTTCCTGTATTTTGTAGTACAAAACCAGAATGCCTCAATGCAAACACAAACAGGACTAGAATGCAGGAGACAAAGACACAACAATACAGTATAAAAGTGAGAATAGAAATTCATTCTCCCTTGATGGTCTTCTATAAAGGGCTATTAAATCACAGTTTTTGAATAAATGACACACAGCAGGCTTTACTTTTGCTTCACTGAGATGTTCTCTGGCTAAGAAACTGTTCCTGAAGACATCAAAGCAAAGTCCTTATCTGCTTGACATAATTCCTTCTCAATTTCCAGTCACATACATCACGGCATCTTCTTTCTTCAGTACAGAAGGCAATTACAATAACGACTGTTCTTCACCAATTTCCTTCTCATTCTCTGCCCACTGAGCAGCTGTCTGCAACATCCACTAAGTAACAGAGCAAGCTTCTACAGTTTGAAGGGCAGAGCTAAGCATCTCAATATCATTATTCAGGAACGCTAGCAAGACACACCTCTGCACAGTACAATCATGAAGCTAATTTATCATTCAGTAGCACTAATCCCAGCCTCTTAGGAGTTTCTCTCCAACTACTGTTTTCCTGCCTCCTTCACTCTTCACTGTACCTTACCTTAAAATCATAAATTCATTCTTTAATTTGCATCCCCCCCCCCCCGGTATCTACCAAACTGGAACGTAAGCCTCACAAAAGCTCACTGGGCTACAAGAAATGTGCAAAGAATAACTACCAAATGTTCTCCTCCCAGCTCTGGCTTTCTCTTCCACTACATATAAACATTCTTGTACATAAATAAAACCCTCTTTGCATAAGAATGTCATTATGAACTGGTCTTTATCACTTTGCAAACCTGTAGCAATTGCATGATGTTTCCAAAGAAGGAGAATACATTATGCCACTTTATAAAAATGCAACAAGGAGGAAATGGGAACGATAGGCTAGTCAGCCTTACTTCCACCCCTCCTAAGTTTATTGAGCAAGTTCTGCAAGCCATTTCCAAGCATTCAAAGGACAAGACGGTGGCTAGGAGAGGCAGTCAGATTTATTAGGTATGAATCTGACTGCCTTCTAGAATGAAATGCCAGTGGAGGGCAGTGGATGCTGCTTATTTTGATTTCAGCAAACCTCTTGATGCAGTTTCTCACAGCATCCTTATAAGCTGTACTGGGGAGCTTTGTGTGCAGCCTAGTAAGGAGGTTGATGAGAAACTGGTTGACCGGTCAAGCTCAAGGAATGACCAATGGTTTGAAGTCTACATGGTGGCAAGGTATGAAAAGTGTGCCTCAGAAGACAATACTGGGACTGATGCTATTCTGTGTTTTCATGAGTGATGCGGAGAAAGAGACAGAACATACTTTCAACAATAACAGAAAAACAGGCATACTGGAGAGAGTTGCTGACATGAAAGAGGTACCACCCAGAGGGACCTTGACAGATTGAATAAGTAAGCAGACAAAAACCTCCTGAATCTCACCCAAAGGCAGGTAGAGATTCTTGCATCTGGGACAGAGTAGCCCTGTGTAAGACACTGGCTGAACATCAACTGGAGAGGAAGACAGATCTGGAAATAAGTAAGGAGTCCTGGTGGACAAGAAGTGGAATACAAGTGAGTACTGCAAAACAACACACCTACTTCATTCATCAAAGAATGCTGCAAATATTGAAATCTGAATCAAGCTACTGAAGTATGATGATGAATTTAGATATACCCTGGAGTAATAAAATGGAACATGACATGTGATTCATTTAGGTTGTCTGCCAGTCAGGAGATTCAAATCTGATCAAGAGCCTGATTGACCTACAAATGGAGTCTAACACAGAAATACTGAAGAGAGGGCAGCTGCAGGAATTTGAGTCTCCCCTCACTTTCAGGAAGTCGCAGTGGCAGGAAACACTATTTATCAAGACGAGGCCTGCTAAGTTGCTCTTCAGTAGTGCCACAGGTACATTCAACCTTTAAAGACAAGTAAGACCTCCTAGAGAGCTTACAGTCTAACTAAGGGCTTAACAAGATGAACAGCATACTGACCTCAATAGGAAAATCTGATGATAATTTATCTTGCAGTGTCCCCAGAGAAAAATCACGTCAAGTCTGGTGTCTCTCCCAAGAGTGTGAGAAAGGCCATTAATTCCCTAAAACATCACAACTCTCATAAAAGTTTTTAAATTGTCCTTAGATTATAGAAAAAGCAGAACTACTCCAAACAATCCTTAGAATATATCATACAATATCAGAATTGTTTTAAAAAGGGGGAGCACAAAAGGTCACCAATTAAAATTTCAACTAAATTGAAACATCTGTGCATCTGTTGAATAGACTCAAATCAAGGGAAGTTTTAGAAGATCCTTCTTGAGATAAAAGCCTCTGAATTGCACAAATGCTCTTTTAGGGAGACTACTCCTTGTCACTGAAACTGGCTGCAGGTTAGGTTACAAGGTTCCCAAAACTAAAATTTATCTGCACACTGTCATAAGAAGGTGACCACCTTTACCTTGAACATGCTTACAAGTCCTAGGTAGACAAGACACTATTTTTCTGTTCCAGACTATAGGCCCTCCCACTGCTGAGACCTCTTCCACTAACCCCCAAGCACCACTGAACCAAGTACTTGAAGTACAAAATAAGACAATCCAGTAACTTTACAACAGGAATACTCTTCTTTCCACAAAACCCCCATAGCCTGTCTCATAATCTGAACTGACCCCTGTACTCCTTTAGTAAGATAAAAGGGCTTTTCTTGATCTATGTAGTTCTAAAATGTATCACTAACAACAACAAAAAAATGTTTTGAGAGGGATTTGCATGGGCAGATCTGACAGTTTGCTTGGGCTGCGAAATGTAAATCTAATTTGGATCTCTCCCCAAGAATAAGCAGGTATTAAGGGATCAGAGATAGGCAGCATGTCTGTAATATAACTGTATTTGTCAATCTGCATTTAGACTGAGCCATTCCATTTTTGTTTTGTATACGTTATGATCATTTAACATTTTAATACATAATTAAATATAAAATACCACCATATAGCCTTGCTTATCAAATATGTCCCTCAGCTACTGATTTATAAAACAGAGGTAAACACTGCAAAACAATTAAAACCACTGCAAAAACAGTAAAAACAGTTCTAGGTGAACTTCCATATTCAAAATGAATTTTAGAAGCTTTAACAGTCCTGTCTGAAAGCTCCACCCAGTGAGAAAAGTAAAAACAATGGTATGCATACAGATATATCCTATTGTTAAAGGACTTGAGAACCCATGAGGTCACCGGTCCCTTGACACATGCTATGCAGGTATATATTTTAGAAATGAACTCCAAAATATGCCGCAAATAGAATAATTAAAGTGTAATATGATAAGGAATACAAGAAAAGTAGGGAGAAATCGCTACCCATATATACTGCAACATAGAAGGTAACTGAGGATAAGTGGAAGCATTACGTAGAGAACAGAATCTCTTCTGCGTATGCTGCAGAGTAAAGTACAATCATCAGCAGGTGGAGACACTTCCAACAGATAGAGCAGACAATACTTTCTGAAGGGAGCGAGAACATGAGACAGCTGTGGTCTGAACAACGCCAAAAGTGCTCTGAATAGAAGTGATACTGTAAGTGTTTTTTTCATTCAGCTATCTGTTAACTTCAGTTGAAAATGTGCTGGGAAATGCTGACAGTCACTTTTGAAGTTAAACAATAAGAAACAGAAGTTTGGTTTATCCTCTAACATACTTCAAATGTGTTGGAGGTCCAAGTTCCTTTCCATGACATCAGTTTGCACATTTATGTCCAACTGGTTCTCTCGAACCCTTGTCCAGGAAATTTAGGAAAGAACATGCAATACACAAGCAAGACGGGAGACATTCAGAATAAGAGAGAAGGAAAAGGTCAAAGGGACCACGCTGCTAGTGGGCCAATGGTGATTTCTGAATTGACATGCACTGTACTTGTCTTCTTAGAAGGAACATGGTTCAAGTTCATACACACAGCCTGAAAACATTCTGCAAACACAGAATTCAGCTTACATATTTGAACTTGTTATCATTCTAATTACCCAGCCAAGAAATCCTCCTGACCTAGAAGAAAACACGGGGTGACTTTTGCCCCCTTGAGTAGCAGTGGGAACTTTCACCCAGAAAATGCCAAACACAGCAAACAAGCACAGAGTGAACAAAGATCCAAGATCTGAAACCCAAAAGATTCTGTATACAATCCAGTACGTATGAGTTGGCATCAGGTAAGGAGATGAACGCATAATAAATACAGCAATAGCAAGAACATTTTAAACAGTCATCGCAGTCCCAACGCTCGTTACCTGTTTTTAAACACAGATTCTGTCTGGATAATGGCGCACATCACACGCCAATATTGAGGATCTCTCTATTGCCAAACAAGGTGTTTGGTGGAGACATACATCAGAGTCAAACACATCCAAAATCCAGCATGCTTTTACAGTTGCAATGCTTCCTTTTGGCTGTATCCAAGGCTCTTCTCTGGCGGCATTTTAAAAAAGTTAGTGGAGGCAGCAATTGTGGCTTTCTCAGCTGCTGGTATTTTTCCTGTCCACTCAGGGTTCTGGGACCTCGGGGATGGTGGTGTTGCTGGTAGGTCTGACTCTGCAGCATCCATGTGCACAGATAAAGTTGCTGGAATATAAAATTGCAGAAAAGGGGGAACAGAGGAGAAGAGTAGGAAAAGGAAATTAAAAAAAAGTTAGAACAAGTGACTTCATGGCAAACTCCTCATATACTTCAATACATATATATATATATATGAGGGTTTTGTTCATTGAGTTCCTGCAAGTTCTGCTCCCTCCAAGTTCTTTGACACCTAAATGCTTGATGGCATTAGCATCGTTGCCCGGATGATTTTCACTTTCCACATTCTGAACTTTCAGTTCCATTAGTCAAAGTTCCTATTGAAAAATCGAGAATTTAAAAGTCTCTGAAATATCGTCCATTTCCAGACTGCAAAGCTCAGTTACAGAAGAAAACAGAGCTCACTGGTACTGACAATACCATGAACCTCCATATATATTCAACACGGTAAATCAGTCTATTAGAGCAAGAAGCTGCCTGCTATGCTAGGCTGGAATTCATTCTCATTTTCTCAAGACGATCACTGGTTCAAAATGGAACAAGATATAATTAGCAGAAAAGATTTGCAGACCCACAGCTCAACTGAACAGTAACCCAAATTTCTAGAACGATTATAAGAAACCTGGAGATATGATAGTTTACTTCCATTCTCAGTATTCTGAATCGCAAGCAGGACAGAGGAAGATAAAAACAAGAAATTGTCAGAAGAGTCTTTAGGGCAACCACAGGTTTTTCTGAACAAGTAACTGCTTCAGTACCCAACACATCACTTTTGCCTTGTATTCTCCCAACAGATAACAACTGCTTGTGTACTTTCATTACAAGCTGATTCTGCTGCTCTGTAGTGGATGAATGATTAAAAAGGCCACAGCAAGCCTCAACTGGAAGACTGACTGCTTTGAAGTTTACATAAAAAGCCAGTATCAGTGGCTGAGGTTAGCGGTTAATGCACTTGGTACACCTGAAACCCAACAGTCTTGGTCACCTAAAACAGTGAGTCATTCACATGCATCTACAACAACACAGCTGATATCACTACATGGCATGTTTTACTTTGTGCCTATTGATCTTCATCTGGAGGCAAGAGGAAACATGCAGAAAAAAACAATAACAAAACAAGTGAAAAATCCTTAAACTATTAATTACCACCAAAACTACACAAACGACACTCACTAGCAGTCTCCCCACCTCTGGCTTCTCATTATGAGGTACCATCACACTATGAGTAAATGTATTAGCATTAGCAAGAAACTGAGCAGCAAGAGTCACTAAACTGCTGCTACTCAGACTGTTCTCTGATAAGCAGTTTCAGAAGCTGCTGACACCTTTAAAAATTTTTATTTCTTTTACAAATATGAATGCATACAAAGAGAAACAAAATCTATTTATGAAGATATTTCATCCAGATTCATCACTGAGATGCCTGAATAAAATATTGGTTACCATGTGCACTGCTACATATACAGGTGCCTGAAACACACAACCACAAACACTGAACACATCAATATAAAGTTGGACAGTTGTTCACTGTGTTTCATGACCATATATACTTGTGGTCTACTCTAACAAATGGAAGACACACAACAATCTTCTTGAGATCCCTTTCAAGACAGAGAGTAATTACAATGAGAATAAGGAAATACACACTATTTCTCAGACTACAATGCCACTGAGGAATTCACACAAAAAATATATCACAATGGAGTCTAACAGAACACAAGGACATTATCAATGAATTCTGATGCCCCTAATCTTAGATCACTGAAAGTTTGAAGGACCTTCATCACCACAGACTTTCCTTCTCTGAATTGGACAAACTTTTGATCTAATCTAGTACAGCCAATGTTTCTCCAGATTTCCTTATTCCTTGGCCAAATTACATCAGTTGGACTTTTGATCTTACCTTGTTAAAGCCTTATGCATTAGGAGTCACACACAGAGGTATCACGTAGTGTAGAAAGCACTAACTTTCATTTTCAGTCTCTCTCATCACTCACACAAGTGTATCAACTTATTTTTGATAATAATTGTCATTTCCTGAAAAGCAAATGAATTTTCTGCCCATTTTTTCCTTTGTCTCAACATGCAGGTCTTTTCCTAAAACGCTATTTTTCAACAACTCAGTTGTGATATTCAGGCTAGTTAGCCTCAAACTGTGGCAAATAATGAAGTTTAATGCTATAATGACAAAGACTGTGGCATTTCTGCTACAGTAGTTTATGTTCTTTGACATTCATACAGAGGCCTCTAACAAAACGTAACTACAAACCCTTAAGTATTGTCAGAAAAACGTATGAGAAGACAACGAATAAACTTAGTTTGCTTGGATCTCAAATAAACACATCTCCAGCTCCTTTCTCTCATTCCTGCAACTAGAAAGAAGCCGACATCCGCATCCCATATTCTTTTTATTAGCATCTTCTGATTTCAGCCAAATTCAACTCAAAACTTTCAGTGGATGACGGCGGCGGGGGAGGTGACAGGGGAAGATTTGTAGCTGCATGTTTAAGAAAGAAGCTAAATTCATCACAATGACAGGGGAGAGTGTTGGCAGAGATTTGAGCTATTTATTCTTTTAGGAAAATCCTATAAAGAATGACACGAGGAAGCCTCTATCTGCAGTCTTGTTCATCACACTGGTGAGGAGTCCGATAACAGATGTATGCAGTAGTGTGATTTAGTGCCGGGAGCTGGCCCCTGATGTGTATTAATACAGCGGCAAAGCGGAACGAGCCCCTCTTCATCACTCATCTCTATAAAAGAGGTGGAATCTGAGATGGCCCGATGTTCGGCAGAGCAAGCCCATTTGTTCTGCTGACTGATGGAGCCAGCTCAGGCTGTGTCCTTCACCTCCATGGGGCACTCAGGTTGCAAAAAAGGAGATCACTGAAGCAGGACCTGGTCAACAAGTGAGACGAGAGCAGTTGGACTCTGCTAAGAAGCTATTTAAAAGTGAAGAAATCCAGCACCGTGTATTTCTGCAGTGACAGGCATGGGCCTGCATTCTGATCCACCCGCGTTCCATCTTTTGCAAAAGGAATAAGACACCACAAACAGAAAGAGCCTCTGCAGCGAGAAAATGAGGCTGCCATGATTGTTCAGGGACAGAGAAATTCAGCATATGGCATCTATGCAGTGATGTGTAGGTGTACGCAGGCAGAAAGATCTGCATCTGTCCCACCAACGTCCAGCAAGCATAAGATGCTTCAGTTAATACTGCATTACTGCAGAGTAATTCTGTGTTATTTCTTTGATGCCAGTAATTCTGCACTCAGAGCACCTTTAATAGAAATAATATCAAGCTTCAGAAATTTCCAAGTTATGTGCCCAGGTTGTGCTCCAGCTGCAATTGAGATACTGCTGTAGAAAGTCAGCAAGGATGTAGCTTCAGTTACCCAACCACAGGAGCTTCTTTCTGCAAGTACTGTAGAAAACCCTGTCCATCTGTTAACGTTGCTGGAGATGTTTCTAAGCAGGTTTGAAGGCAGAGATCTTTGCAATTTCTGACTATTAATGATTTTGCAGCAGTTTCCTCTCCATGATCAACACAAGCACCTTGTCCAGATTCCAGAGCTATGCTCTCCTTCCTTAATTTGTAACACTTTATATTTTCCCACTCCTCCCTGAAAGACTATCAGACCTCTGTGCTATTTTCCACTGCTGAGTTGCAGTCCAGATGTAGATTCAGTTCAGTGAAAAATGTTCATTATGCACTTCATCTAATCAAATATAATTTACATAATATTTTGAAAGATATAGGCATAGAAATAGAAGCTCTCCCTATAGAATGTAAACAGCAATGCAGCACAGAAATTACACTCCTGAACTAAAAAATAAACAGACAGGTAACAGTGTCTCATAATAATGAGACATGAGCATTCATACCAAAAACACCTAGTATACCAGAACTAAAATTCTGTAGCTACCGATGTGCAATTTTATTAATCCTTTCACTACAGAAGTCTGAACACCCTAGCACAGGATACTCAAAAGCTAGAAAAGGACATCCTAAATCAACAGTTAATAACAACTAACAACTTCATCGAGCAACACATTATTAATTTTCATGTTCTTTTATCTTCTTTTTTTAACACAGAACCTTTTAAACATTCTCCAATCCAGATCTCTGGCCTGGAAAGATGGCACAGCTTTCTTCCATATTTCATTATTCTATTGTCTATCCACCCGCCCTACAATGAAACCCACCAAACCTCATTCCTCCTATTTATCACTAGTTCCTTTGGCCTTCATGGTTTTCACATCACCATTTTTCCCATCAGCTCAACCAACTCTTTCTTACTGGATTGTACAGTGTCTTAATGAGCTAGTTGGGAGGACACTGGTCATTTAGTAGCAGGAAAAATGTTTGAAGCGGTGAGAGGATATAAAGAAGTCTCCTAAAGTCTTCTGTGTTCTGCAAACACACTTTCTCAGATTCTGAAAGATGAATAAGCCAGCTTTATAATCACTACAACCTCAGAGTAAGAAAAAAAGTGACTGTTTTAAGCTACAACAGTAAGACAACTCCAAGAGAATACAGCTCTTCTCACTGAGTGATCACACAAAAATTGCTCGATTTCTCCTCCTGCAAAGTGCCTTGTGGCACCCCGAAAAATCCACCAGCTGATGTAAACCCAAAACAGTCCTGCACGCTGATCATCATGTGCTGCACGACTTAGGAACTGTGGAAGGAACTCCTTTTTGACAAAACAAATTATTAACCACCACACAGTGAAGCTCTAAGTTAAGCTAGCTTAACGTAGCTGCGTTATCAGATCTATTTATTAGGCAGCTTTCTATGCTACACAAAAAACACACGACATTTGCTCACAAGTTGCCTTTCTCACACTTTTTTTTTTAGTTTCAAATTGAGGTAATGCTATTTTTCACTACTCTGACTTTGGCACTCTGCCCAAGAGGGACACGACTTTAGAAATGCTGACACACACACAAATCCAGACTACCTGACGTTGGGCTGGACATGGAGGCTGCAGCTGGCTTTCGTTTCCTCTTGATGTCCCTTGAGCACGGTGGTCCCAGGTGTACATTTGCTTGCCTACAGAGAAATTAAAACAGCAAATTAAACTCTGTTCCAGTGTCACCTTCCCACAAGATTCTGGCTGATAATCTCCAGCCTCCTCTGCATCAGTCTCTCAACCAGTACTGAAATGAATCAAAAGGTTCTCAGGGAAGTTTCCCTCACACTTTGTTATCATACGATTAGGCTTCCATTTCTTTAAGAGCACACACCCATAAACACCCATAAACTGAACATAATAATTATTATTTCCTAGCATTTAAAGGATATGGTAAGTAATCACTTTTAAATAACTCTTTTGCATAAGTAAAGATGTGATCAAGCAGTGATATGACACACCCTATCATTATTTCTGCACAAGTTTAAAAAAGGCTGCAAAATTGCCTGGAAGAAATTACATTTGCTCACTTATTCAGAAATTATTTCACTACATACACATATTTAGAGCTGTAGAGTACATCTTGGGATGTACCTATAATCTAAATGACTACAAAAGTAAGTTCATAAACATAGAAACTCAAAACTTTTGTGCATTTTCAAAATTAAAATTTCCTTATAGATAATACAATGAAAACAGCTGAATCTGGCTTGCAATATTATAGACTTTCTGACACCTGAACGAGAGTGGAGAGGCATAAACTATCCCAGCCATACCAGCTGTTAAGCCCAAAGCCTGCTGATGACCATTCCAGTTAAACACTTTGACAGTTAAGAAGAAACCTGCCTTATTAGGAGCGGTTCAGACAGAGCACTCCTCCAAGTTCTACACATAGGAAGAAATCACAGGAAGAAATGAAGATTCATTCAGAAAAGACAGTCTGGAGCAGGAAAAAAAGAAAAAAAATCTGTCCAGAGCATCTTCTCATCTACAATCCATAATGAATACAAATGTTTAATTTAGCAGTGATGTCAGGTTCAAATCCCTTCTTTGTCTGCCAATTTTTTTTGCCAAGTTGTTTTCTCTCTGCATCGGAAAATGCAGAACAACAGTGTAAATAAAAACCACTGAGGAGCATGAGGTGCTTACACTGTGTAAAGATTGAAACCATGTAAATTTCGACAAATTATTGATGATATCCTTCTGTATCTTTAAAACTTGCTATTTTTTTTTTCTTTTTTCCAGAACGTTTATCCAAATGCTGAAAATTTCCACTTTTTTTTTTTTAACAAGATAACAAGAGGAAAAGATCATTGCTTCATATTTCCACGCCAAACTCTAATTTTAAAAAATGGTATACTTGTAATATAATACAATTTAGGAAGCTGAATTTATGCAACCATGAAATTTGCTGCTGTCGTTACACAGAACACTGTACAGAACAGTGCAGGGAGCACACAAAAAAATCCATGTACAAGTCAAAATTGTAAATTATTTGAATGCTGCTGGGTCTACCTACTTACCTTCAACAAGTATGCAGTCACAAAATAAGAAAGAAAAGCAACAAAATAACTACCATCCTGTATTCTCAATTAAAATTCCCAAGTTCTACATGATTTGTCATCTTAGTTTGACATTAAGGCACAGCTTAATTTTTTTTTTTTTTTTTTTTTACTTGTGTTAAGTTTCACCGAGGGTCAATTTTTCAAATCCATCATCATTTCCAGGAGCTCTTATCAATATAATAAGGCAGAAGTGTCCTTGCAACATGAACTAAAGTCTTTCAAAAATACCAGCACACCTGGAGACTGCACATGCAAATCCCACCCTTCTACACATACATGACTAACTTGTAAGTTAACCCATGTAAGCTAAAAATTGCTTTTGTATATAATTGTAATGGTAGCCATACAGTATTTTAGCACACTTTTACAATATATTCTCAAATATGTAAGCACACATAAATAAGGAAAAGATAAACTAATTCAAGTGGAACTTCAGGTTTTTCATTCAGTATCAATATTACCAAATAATACTACTGACTAGATACTATGTAGTTATATACAATAATCCAAATCATTAATACATAATAATAAAAAGGTTAACTTCTAATTTTATGAGCTTACCCCAATTATTAGCCAGACCCTTTTTGAAGACTCACTACATAACATACTATAGAGGAAGCATGCACCATCGTCTCCAGGGGACTTCATGCAATTTTTCCCATTTCACAAACATTAAAGCTAGATTTAGAATAAGAGCTCCTGGTTCTCAGATCCATGCTCAAACCACACCTACCCTTACCTCACAATTATAAAAAAGAATGAAGAAAAAAAAAGGAGAGAATCTCATAATTCTTTCTTGTTCTGAAAATAAAGGCACATTGTACTCCAGCTGGAGACTAGTAGCAAGGACACTGAAACCAGCAGCTCTGCCTCTAACATACAAAGGCTTGGAGGTTATAAATAGTCACCATCACACATATTTCATTCAGGTTTATCCCTTATTGATCACCCACACTCTAGTTAGTAAATCAGGAACCTATTGATTACTCACTGGCTCTGACTGCCCTGGTGGTAAAAGTGTCAGTTTCAAGTGGTTGGTGCACTTTACAGGCACCGTAAATCTGGGTACAGGGAATCTCCAGGTGGTAGATACTTTGGGAGAGGGAGAAATGAAAGAATGCATACAGGAATGATATACCTCATTAAAACACAGGCAAGAAGGGTATCAGTGTTACAAATTCATGAATTGTACAATTTCTGGTAGATACCACACTACTGGTGTTATATTGGTAAGAGAAGAAATTGGCAAATCCCAGTTGCCTAGTTTCAACTGGGATAGATATTACCCTCTTGCTAGTAGCTGCTATAGTTCTGTGTTCTGAATTTAGGATGAGAATGATGTTATTAACACACGAATGTTTTGGTTTAGTCCTAGAAGTTTTCAGCTTCTCACGTTGCCCTCGCAGTGACAGGTCAGGGGCACACAAGAAGCTGGGAGGGGACACAGCCAGGACAGCTGACCCACACTGGCCAAAGGGATATGCCATACCATATGGTGTCATGCTGAACAATAAAATGGGGGGGGTTTGGCTGGAGGAATTGACTCTGCTTGGAGACTGGCTGGGCATTGGTCAGCAGGTGGTGGGCAACTGCACTAGCAATCTGTATGTTCTATCATCATCATTATTACTTTCCCTTCATTTTCTGTCCTATTAAACTGTCTTTATCTCATCCCACAAGTTCCACCTTTTTTCCAATACTCTCTCCCATCTCACTGGCAGGGGGAAGTGAAAAAATAGCTGCGTGGTGCTGAGCTGCCTGTCAGGTTAAAGCACACCACTTCATCAGCAAACTCATAGGAACAGCACTGCCAGCAAAGTAAGGTAATGGATATGCACAGCACACCATGTCACAGCAGACAGACATTAACTATAAAGTGTGAAAAATCTGTGCCATGATGCAACCATGAATTAGTTTTTCAGAAAATGTAGATTTTAACAACTCCTCTGAACAGGTTAAAAATAACTCAGAGGTAGAACTGAACAGGGCCAAGAGGAAAGGATAACAGAAAATGCACACTGTCACGAGCCTCCTTGAGAAGAAGTCAGAGGTACCGAGATGACAGATTTGAGCCTAAACTGAGAAAACACAATGGTACTTGATCTGATCTTACTGGCTTTCTATTTCTTCTGCTAGGTTTCTGTATTTTGTTGAACACTGCACGAACAGTAACAAGAAAACTACTGGACAGTGGCTGGTGTATCATAAGAAAAAAAAAGTTGCAGTGCTAAATCACCATTGAATCTGCTAGTCAACCAGACACTAATATGGAAATCAACCTCAGTCTAGAGAGAACCGAAATTCTGCCCCAGGAAGAGAAAAAACAGAACACACCTGGAGAGACAAAGAAGGCTCCAAAATGCAGCTTTCCTGGTAGCTGCAATATATCTAATATATACAATAACACCACATCTTCTTATTGACAGGAGTTAGCGAATGAGAAGTTACACATGTGTAGAAACAGATGGTTTTATATGAAAAAAATCTAGTTCTTTTCTGAACATGTCTCTCTCTATATATATATTTTAATCAAAAGCTAAGGAATTATCCAGGAAATATGGATTTATCTTTTGTTCTTAACTCAAGGTACATGGTGTTCCTACATGCAGCTCACACTGGAGAAAATCAGACAAATAGCTTTGCTATGCAAAATGCTGGGATTCATCGTCTTTAATGTGTCAGAAGGATTTTGAATGTTTCCTTGTTTCCAGGTTCCAGATGGTTACTATATAACTGCTTCTTTAAATGAAGTGTAACTGTGTATACTGGACTCCTACCTCACTCCTACAGATCAAAGTGACCGCATGCACCGCATGCGGGACTGTAAGGATCATACAAGCTTGCCACTGTCACAGATATAAAACTAACAAAATTCTAGGGTTTAGGATTGCCAAGCAATACAATCCACAGAAAACAATACAGAGCACAAGCAGTCACCAGTTCACAACAAATCTAACTGAACAGAATTAGGTCCCTCAAACCTTCTCAGTCTGTAAAATGACGTCCTCTTAAAACTCAGAGTAAAATACACCTCAATCTCAAAACAGAAGTCTCTGAAAACATCCTGCAACAGTTTGTGGCCTTCCTGGAAACAAGGTGGTGTAGCACACACTTGGGGATGTACATCTCTTACTATAATCTCATATAGTTTCTCTGCAGACAACCTCTGGAAGAAGCAAAACAAGTGGATTATATAGAGAAAATTAGGTAGCCATTAATCTACTGTCACACAAACAAGGGGTGCTATTATCCTCACGTTAAAATAAACATTCAGCAGAGACAGCATCTAACAAGGGTACTACTGCTAAAAAAATGCCACACAATCCAAGTGCTGCTGCTGAGATGCTATATTCCCAGCAAACATAGGCCAAATCAAACATTCATCCTCTGAATCCGGAAGCATTACCCGAAGTTTACGGAGGCACAGCAGAATTGCCAGGTCACAGCATGAATCAATGGTTGAGCATCAGGTGAGAAGGTATGGCTAACCCAGGGAGCTTAGGTGCAAGCAATGCACCTGAGAGACCAGAAGGGGTTGGAGCCTGGATCCACCCCTCTTCACCCTCATTTAAGGGATAGCAGCCAAAGGAGCAGCATCTCTCCAGATAGAGGTTGCACTCCTCTTGAGCCACTGCTGGTCACCAGAAGAAGTGAGCTAATTTTCCTTCTTTATCTTCTATTGCTCTATAGTACATGTATCTCAGTAGAAGGTACTGTCATTGCTTTCTTTTGCCACCCACGTGGCTTCACAAAATTAAGAGTAGGAGCAGAATTTCTCCTCCTCTTTGAAACTACAGGCTCAGACAGGCAGCAAAGTCTCATTTGCACTTAACTTTTGTAAATCAATACAAGTCTTGTGCATAAGAGAGTCTCCTCTGCTCTGCAGAACCTCATGGGACAGCTTCTAGAACAGATTTCCAGATTCCAAAGTCACTACAAGTTAGTTCACTTCTTCAATCATCTGAATCTAATAGGCCTTCATGCAGCAATGCTCTGTTCCCCAAGTATGCATTCTAATCATGTAGCAGTTGCATTCCTAAAGTTTGCACACAGTGAACAGAAAGGAACACATTTTTTCAATCATTACTCAAGTAAGCATTCTAAGTAGAGATTATGTGATCCCATGTATTGTATTCTCTCTTCTCATACAGACCTATACAATACACGTGTGCCAGTAAGAGAGATACTTAATATTTGCCTGACCTGAGTACACAAATCTGGTAAAAGCAATGTATTTCATAGCAGCAGAAAGCAGTAATAACTAAACAAGATTCTGAAGCCAAGGGGAACTTATTTTTCACTCTGGAGAATTAGGATTCTCCAAAATGGAAGCATTAGGCCTTAGACAACTGATGCTAGATTAATAGCTTCTGTTTGTTGCATGCCTGTCAGAAGAATTCACTTACATCCCCAACTGGAATATTAGCTAGGCTTTAGTAGCAAGGGAAGACATGAAAGTGTTCTGGCTAAATGAAGAAAAAAAAAGAAAGGGAAGAATGACACCTAAAGCAGCTGATGCATAAACATACATACAGACATCTCAGGAAGATGAAAATGTGTGGATAGGTTGCATGGAATAAATTGGATACTGTCCTGGTCAAGTGGGACAGCATGAAATTGTGAAAACTCATTCAATTCTTCAGCTACCTCAGGAAAGGCCTGACATTGCAGGCAATCTCTATACTTCCATATGCTTGGATAAGAGGCAGAAATGCCAGGATTTCTGTACAGATACAACAGAATGAGATTTGCATAGACACAATTTCTAGAGCTGGAATTGCAGACGTTCTTCAAATCTCCAACTGCATCATCTACTCGCCATCTCACCGGGCACTGACATCCACTTTTCTTACAACATCTGGTCAGAACATTAAATTTTCACCCATAACCCTATTTTCAAGACTAAGCAAACAATAAATGGGACAATCTTTCCCTCTTATTCTACCTGTGTTACAACTCAAATTGAAGGGAACGTTGGTTCTAGACTCTTCTAAAACTCACCCTGCCTCAACAGAATTACACCCCACAAAACAATAACCTATCACATTTTTCCACTGACAGATCCACTGAATAGCCAAAGTCTAATAAAATATTCTGCTTAAGCCTGTACAAAATTGTATCAGAAACAGTATTGCCAGCAGGAGCAGAGAAGTGATCATCCCTCTGTACTCAGCCCTGGTGAGGCCACACCTTGTGTACTGTGTTCAGTTTTGGGTCCCTCACTACAACAAAGACATTGAGGTACTGGAGATGTCCAGAGAAGGGCAATGAAGCTGGTGAGGGGTCTGGAACACAGGCCTTATGAGCTGGGATTGTTTAGTCTGGAGAAGGGGAGGCTCAAAGGTAACCTTATCACTCTCTACAACTACCTGAAAGGAGGTTGTGGTGAGGTGGCAGTCGGCCTCTTCTCCCACGTAACTAGTGACAGGACCAGAGGGAATGGACTCAAGTTCTGATAGGGGAGATTCAGGTTGGACTTTAGGAAATACTACTTCTTTGAGAGAGTGGTCAGGTGCTGGACTGGGCTGCCCAGGGATGTGGTGCAGTCACCAAGCTTGGAGGGGTTCAATAAATGTTTAGATATTGTAGTGAGGGACATGGTTTAGTGGGAAATATTGGCGATTGGTGGACAGTTGGACTGGATGATCTCAGAGGTCTTTTTCAACCTTGGTAATTCTGTGATTCTATGAAAATCCTCTTCAAGTGGAATTCAAGACAACAATTCTTTTCAGACCACTCTTTCTCCAAGAGAGGTAAATGGGTAGAAAGGAACGAAGGGAAGGATCACTTGAGCTGTCCATGCAAGTCTCGTCTTGCTTGCTTTTAACAGCCAGCATCGTCAAGTAGAAACCTTAACAGACAAGACATGATTAGCAAACGCTTTGTGCTCTTAAAGGAGAGTAATTATAGGCATGTGAAAAAAGGAAGAGATCCCTGAGGTACTCTTACTTGCATGCCTCCCGAGAGGCAGCAGGGCCATTAAAAATTCCATGATGAAGAGGAAAAACAGCCTGGGAACAGCCAGGAGGCAATACAGCAAATTAATACACCAGTTGTCCCTTGGGAGGACTGCAAGAAAGCAGGAAACTCTCCTTGCTTCACAAAATAAAATTATACCACTAATGATAACAGTCACCACACACACAAAACTGCTTCTAATGATGGGTGTGAAATTCCCAGTGCTATGCACACACTTTGAATGAATCTCTTCTCATCTCTGATATAAAGCAAGAAAGGTAATCTTGGAAGTGTAGAATTCACACAGCCATTCAAACAAGACTTCCCAAAGAACATTCCACATAGAACCTCCTCGACAATGAAAAGCCTTTCTTGAACACCTCTATCTGTGCTCAGGACTTTGGCTAACAGCTCTGCCTAAATGAAGCACTGCATGACTAATCATGTGTTGCACTTTGAGATGAAGTGCACCAAAATCTACCACAGAAGCAAAGAAAACACTTCCATGGCATAGAACAGACTCCAGCTGGTAGTTACACTTCCACTGGTTAGTGGGCATGGTAGAGTGGCTGGCAATTGGACCAGGTGATCTTCAAGGTTTTTTCCAACCAGAACAATTCCATGATTTATGATAGAAGGAACTCAACAGAAAGGTAATTTTCCACTGCACAGAGGGCATGAGATTAAACAAACCGGATATCCATAACATCAAAACAGGTTCTTCTCTAACACATTTCACATTGCTCTCAGGTCATTAGCTTTTCCCACTCCCACCCTATTCTGACACATTTCTGAGTAGAGTTTCTTCAGGACCAGATGCAAGCTGATAGAACTTGCTAAAGAACAAGCCATAGGAACTGACTCCATCCATGAAAAGAGAGGAAAAAGTAATTAGGAAATACCTGAAGAACAGCTCCTGTTAAGAGAATGTTCCTGTGAAGGAATCAATTTTCCTCTGTGCCCCTGGCAGCATCTCTATGTAAACATCTTGCACTGGAAAGTTCACTCATACATGAGACCATATAGCATTTTTTAATTCTTACCATAGTTTTGCACTCCCTCCTCCCCAAATTCTTTCACACATTAATAATATTTCACACTATAATAAGAAGCTACTTTTTCAAACAACAGACACTTAAAAATACACTCACCGCTGGAACGGAACAAATTATTTCCCTATCAACATTCAGTAACAAATAATTAGGATTATGAGTGCCAGAACATCAGCCGTTTATTCTCTATAGGAAGGAGCCAAGCTTATACCCAGAGGATAGCTAGACTACACACACAGTAAATACAAGCAAATATGATCACACCAGCTTCAGAAACTTCTTGTCACAATCAATAGCTTTGGAAAAGGCCTTCAATGATCATTATAAAGGTAGACAGTTTGCCCTGTTCAAATCTGAGTGGGAGGAGTTGAGATCCCCTTTCTGAAGAACAAACAGGAAACAGTTGGTGTCCCCTGTAACTTCTGTATAGCACCAAGTGAAACACTCAACAAGAAAGGTTATCTTCACTGCAAATGAAGAGACCAACCAATCATCTTGCTTCAGAGGCACAAAACATCCCCAGATTGGTGCAAAAGCACCAATTTGCTTATGTACAACCTTCCAAATTATTTTTGTTCTCATTTATATGAATGTTTAAGAGCTGATTTCTCTCCTCCCCAAACCTTTTCAGCTTTAGCATGCTGCCTACAGCAGCATGAGGTCATGGTGCGGTATCACAAAATTCCCTGCAGAAGCCAGAGGGAGGAGAGGCTTTGCTGGGTAGGTGCCAGGCTTTTGCTCAGACACACACAACCTCAGTACATTTTTCATGCTCTATTTGCTAATTAACAAGGGAAAAAAAAAAAAAACCATGAAGCTGAAAGTCCAGACGGTTCTTTCAGATTTGGTCCTTTGTACAAGCACATAAGCAGAACTGTGTCCCAAGCAGGACCTTGCTTCCTTGTACACTGAAAGAGCTCAAGGGCACCTTACCTTTAGATAGTCACCTGCAGCATAAGAACAGAAGTCACTGCCAAGGACAACTCTTGGATTTAATTTAGGATTATTCAGCAGAAGGTGCTTGAACAGCAAGTTAACCCCAACCACACAAACTCAAATATACCTCAACATTTGGGCAAATGCTACAGGAACACAGAAAAATACCAAGCCATTAGAAGTCACCTAATCTTGTTCTGATTTTAATACTGGACAACAATACATACCAAAGCAACGGAGTTGCAGCAACAAAATGAACAAGGAAGAACAGATTACATTTGTTTCTAAAAACACAGTATGACGCTTTCAATACACTCTAAGTGCCTACAGTACTGAGTCTGCCAGATAATCTGCACTGGTATGTTCTACACTAAGTTTGAACACAGGTCCCTTAGGGAAAAGTGCATTAACTTCCATGCCTGTGACAACTGTTCAGACAGGATAGTACTAATGAAGATATACATGGAAGGGAACCAAGACAACCCAACAGAGCAGAGAAAGGGAGTTACCTGGCAGTGCAGTGTGCTGGTGAGCATCTTCGGTGGGAAGCATCAGCAAGCACATCCAGAGAGTACAGAGGAGATAATGGATTGAACTGGAAAGTCAAGAGATTTTATTTAAGCAAAGCATTAAAAGAAACAGTCTCCAGATACAGCTGCTCAGACCTATACCCTACAGCTGTTCATACAGTATAAGAACCTCCCTGAAACACCAAGGGATGAGGCTAGATGAGAACTGACTCTCAGTTCAGACAACAGGCCTTGCACAGGGTGCAAATCTCATAACCATCTTCTCCCAACAGACAGCCCTACAAGCACACTTCTTTTTCAACTCACATTACTGGAAATGCTGGTTGACTGAGAGCATGCTCAAAGAGCTCTACTGCTGCACATGAGTAAAAAAATTTATTTCCCTCTAGTGAAGCCCCTTGTCCACATTCATATCGTAGAATGACAACTTAATGCTATGACTAAGGAAAGCACAGAACTTCCCAACAGTTCCCCCATATTCACACATGTCACTGAAACAGATCTCTAAAAGGCTCAGGTCCACCAGGGTCTGCTCACAATGAGCTCAAAATTCATTCCACAGCAAGTGAGTTCCTCCTCTCAGTTACAAGCTTTACTTGCAAATTGCTTAAAACAATTTTCTGAAATCGTATGTGGTCAGCTAATCTTACATCCTTTGTATGGCATACACTGACAAATCCTGAAGGCATCAAGCCTGTGAAAGACAGCTTATTGTAGAAGATACAGCTCTACATTTTTTTAAGGGATGGGAAAGACAGGGAACAATCTACTCAATCAGTGTAGAGAGCAAACCTAGCTCAAAATGCAAATAGATGGCATAGGCTAGTAGTTGCCCTAGGGTGTCCACATTACACTTCCATTCAGCATCTCTTTATTTATAATTCACACCACAAGCAGGAAATTCATTTCCATCTGTTTTGCAAAGTGCTTGATCGATTTCCCGAATGTTTGTTCTTATATTACTAGGATTACTGATGCATTTTTAAATAGGGAAAATCCACAGCTGTAGCAACTCTTGTCATAAATGTTATATGGAAGCCTAGAATTCAGTATTAGGCCTTTGTCTTCAAACTTTCTGACAGAAAAGAGGCACTATGCACTACAAAGCTTCTGTTTTCAGTGAGCTCCTTCTTAAATTGGGCTATTAGTTTACTATCAGTGAAATAATGCTGCAGCTGCACCATAGGGGAGAATCATCAGTACCTCTCTGTAGCTGAAGCAAGTTCAGTTATGAAAAATAAAACTAATTTATATTGGTCATTTATAAGCTGAGTTATCGCTCTTATCTTTAACAATATAGAAGTGGTATGTGAAATGCTGTCATTAACAAGAAATGCACAGTTGCACAAAGGCCATCAAACTACCTCTTTGCACAAAGACTTAAAAATAATTTCTTGCTATATATGTATCTGTAGTCACCTGTAGTGACAAACAATGTTCAGTCCTAGTGTTCACTAACCAAAAGTCAACTAGCAATAGAACAGAAGGCTAGGAACACAACTACAGCACAACTCTGTAAGTGGAAGATCTTTTTTGCTAGCCACTATCAGGAAACTGAGGTCTTACATCATCAATAATACAGCCTTTTACCACTGAAGGTATATAAAATTTACAAAGAAAGAATACAAGAGAAGTGCTTACACCCAGATTCAGTCAGTTAAAGAGTGACTATTCATTTCTTTCTATTTCCTGTTACATCTGCTATTTAATTACAGCCTTGCGTTTTTAATTTTTTCCCCTTTTCTGTTGATGAGACTATCAGGAAGGAGCCTGAGCCAAATAAGGCAAAACAAAGCATGTGAAAAGAGAAAAATGTTCCAATTATCATGGAATTCTGTGAGGCCAAAGTTTCTCTTGACAGGAGTCATTCTCCCTCCCACTAATTATTGGAGAGGAAGGCAAACACTAACCTGAAACACCAAGACAAACAAAAGGAGCCCCTGAGCTATTCAAACAACATAATGCCAGAGACATGGGTTGCAAATCAAATCCAGAAGACAACAGTTACCAAAAGGAGAAGGGACAGAGCTACTGGAACAGGCTGCCCAGAGATGTGGTTGACGCCCCATCCCTGGAGATTTTCAAGGCGAGGCTGGACCAGGCCCTGGGTAACCAAATCTAATTGTCCCTCTTCACTGCAGGGTAGTAAGACTTGATGACCTTTAAAGATCATTTTCAGCTCTAAAGACTCTGATTCCACATTACCTCATGTGCAAAGGGCATGGTGTGAGGGAAATTAAAAGCCAGCATTTTGTTCTTTCTAGAGAGAAGGAAACCAAGAAAATAAAAAAGGTAGAGCATAGACAGCTTACCTGGTTGCGATCTCTCTTCCCCATTGATGGTAACCAAAAACTGGAAGGAGGCAGAGTTGGGAGGGCAGGTGGGAGCCATGCCATGGAAGGAATGAACGTTGAGGGGAAAAAAAGAGGATTGAGGATGAGGGAAAAAAGGGCAAAGAAAGAACAAATATGGAAGAAAAAAAGAGAGAGATTAAACATCACTAGGACTCATATTAAAAACAACAAATGCTAAATCCAAGTAAGAAAACTGGGGACTGACAGCTGGTGAAGGCTGGACCCGCTGCATTACAGGTAGAGAGGAGCTACCTCTACCTAATTATAGCCCAACAAGAACAGCATTATAGGAATGCCAAGGATAGGCACCATATCTGTTTCTATTGCTGACTCTAATTTTAAAACACAGTTTGGGGAAGGAGACATCACACCCAAGAAAGAGAAAGCAAATTCACTACTGCCTTATTCACTACAGCATCGTTTCTACAGTGAGAAAAAACTGACTGCAACCAAAAGAGCATTTGAGCAGTTTCTGCATACTGGGGCAGCCTAGTAACAAAAGGAGAGTCAGTGATTACAAAAAAAGAAAATGGAGAATCTGTCAGTAGAGGACTGTCTCCCACTCAGCAGTTGTCTGTATTCTTTATTTAACACAAAACTCTTCACTCCCTTCAGTCACAGAAGGGAAGAAGATCCCGAACTTCTTCCTCCCCTCCCAAAACCTTACACAACAGCTGTTATGGGCCTTACTCTTTCTGGCGCGGATCACTAACATGACCTAGCCTCTCAGTGCCCACAGTGCTGATGGAGGTCTCCTGAAACACAAAGACAGGTAAAAGGTTGCAGATTCATGTAGTGAACAGTCATAGTTTACTGCTGCTAATAAAAACAAGTATTGCTGTACCATCTCAGTCTCAGCTAAACATCCTCTCCCTTTAGAACCTCAACTGACAGCAAAAGACCATTTGGTTTTATTATTTTTGTGTTATTATTGTTTTTTAATTGTTTTAGTGACTACAATTGCTTACACAGGGGTGCACCAAGGACTGGACCGGCATACAGCACAAGGACACGGTTAAGAATGGGAGAAATGAAACCAGTTTACACTAGAATCAGCTGGGCTACATGCAGGCTGACAGACAGAATACTACAATACCTTACTAAAAAGAACGTTCCTCACAAAACTGAATCCAGTCTTTCCAGCCAAAGGGGAAAGGGATCCATCAAGTACAGGTGAAAGAAACAAAGAGGAAACATGAAGTTCTCCCTCTCTGAAAATAGCAATTTAGCATGTGGACATCTAACAGCTAAAGAAAAGGCATATCCCAGGAGAAAAGACTTAGTCTACAAGCACTTTTTTTTTTTCTCTGAGAGATGCTGCCTTGTGTTACGCGCTTGATTCTGGCATACACACAGCCTGATACAGCAACTGTTCACATCTGCATAGCAACTGCATCCAGAAAAGAAATGTGCTTTGCAGAATGTCTGAAAATGAGGATAAAAGAATGCACAGGTAAGATTCTCCAGAGCTTCTGCCAGGTTACATAGGCAAAACACATTTGAAGTTTAGGGGGAGTAGTAACAGCAGGGGTGAAAGATGGGCTATTTGTTACAGCAGGAAAATTATTAACTTAAAGTCCGTAATGTTTAAATTTACGGTTTATTACTGTGTAAATTACAAGCCGTACTTTTGGTAATTAGCAGTTCGCTGGCGGGGAGCTCTGAACGAAACTCATTATTTATGATTACAATTTAGAGAGAGATGGGGAAGGGGGAGCAGTGACCTCCGCTGCAAATGACAAAGATCCCTTTAAGGTGATGAAGATGAATTAAACAAGTAAATATTATCTTTCTCATTTGGATCATTAGAGGTGCTGCCAACAGACCCAGGTGGCCTGAGGAATCTACCCAAAGCCGGTCTCTTGCCAGCTGATGATTCATATTTTAAGCCCCTGTTATAACTAAGCAAGGTGAGTGGAAGGAAGAAGAGGCAAACAAGGATCTTTCAAGTGTGACAACAATTTCTGAGGAAGAAATCACACTCACCTAGAAAGCAGACCCATGTGATGGTCCTTAGAGATAAAAAAAAAACTCTCTAAAGCCAGTCAACTAAAGAATATAAGCCAATGTATTCAAGAGCACATCTCAGTAAAACCTAACACAGCCAACAACCTCCACCCTCATTAACATCTTTTATAGAAGAGACAACCGTACTCCACACTTCAAGATTCAGACCAGATGCCTGCCTCTTTTAGACAGGTTTTTGCCAAGTATCATTTATTCCTTTAAGAACAGGATGAGCATTTTGTTTGCTGTTTGCCCTACAGATAAAAGACCTCGTCAGTGGCTTTCGGTATATACATGCATATACCTACAATTTTACCTTCTTTCACTTCAGAGTCAGCTTTCCGCTCTTGTAGATGTTACTGGTATGAAAAAGAGTCTCGTGCCTCATCATTTTCCCCTACATTCTGTCTAACTCTTCTTCTATCATTCATTGCCAGACCTCTTTTTGTATCAATTTTAGCACTAACCAACTCTCTTTGACCCACCACATCTGTCTTAAAATCTACACTCAATCAGCTTCCAGCAATCAACGAATTTCACCAAATGAAAAATATTATAAAACTAAAATGTACAGTGCCCCCTTTCTGCAGGAAAGGGCCCATGTGCTAACTCAGAATAGTACTCCAGTTCTAATCAGCACTGGAAATATAGAGGTACTGTGTTGCAAAGGGGAATACCTTGCCAACAAGCCTCCTTCGACCTTTCCGAAGACAGCGGGCAGCAGCTCCTGGAAGGCGGTTCAGGCGAGCGTGAAATCCTGAAGAAAAAAAAAAAAATCAAACATGAAAATTGAGGATTCTTTCCCAGCAAAACAGACAGGAAAAATAGTTGGGTTAGTGGTCAAATCAGTATTTCTGCCTCTGTTTCTCAATCTGCAAGAAGTAGATATGCCTTTTTATTCACAAATCAAAATCTTTATTTAACAGAAACCAAACCATAAACAGAACTAAGGGACTCTGAAGGATAAGTTATTTGGTATCTTCTCCACTAGTGCAGCTGTTTTTAAATGGATCATTACAAAAAACAGATCATCAATACCATTTTACTTTGCAGCACCTGTGAGTGAAATTTACTCTTACCATCACATCAGAAGACCAAAAACACCTTAATTCTTACAGAACTCACCTCTTTGAGCTGGTCGTGAGGGCAAGAGAAATGTGGAATCTGAGAGCTTGTCCAGGCCTGAGTCAATCCGTTCCACTTCAGAACGGTGGTCAGCTCCCCACTTGGGAAGAAGGTTGGGGACAGTGAATCCTGGGACACATTCTCCCTCATAAAACCAATCACTCTGCTCATCATCTCCTAAATAAATAGACTGAAATTATCCACAAGAAAAAACAGCGTGCCCTGTGACTGTCCCACAGATTACTACAGGTAGGCATTTTTGGAAATGGAACAACAGCTGAAGTCCCATTAGGAATTCATTCCTGAGAAGCTTGTATTTGTATTCTGTTTCAATCATTTGCAGTAACTATGGGATATCACTAAATGCTTTAAATTATCCAACTCAGTCTACACAATTTCCCTATAGAACAAAGCCTTCCTTATAGACCTGCCTAGGGCAGCTTTAGCACTCTGTTGTGGATGCATCTCATCAACCTTAGTTCATTGCTGTGTGATGTCTAACACACATCTCTTTCTCTGAAGTAATTACTGTGACAAAAATAGAGGCCAATCATTTGGCACACTTTGTAGGCAACCACAGGAAAGATTTCACAACAGGACAGCAGGCTTGCTGTTTTGAATAAGCAAAAGGAACATAGTCACTGATGAAACAGATCTCCTAGCACAGTAGCTAACAGGAATAAACAACTATGTCAGAACCACAGTCTTCCCTGCAAAAGTAGAACAGCAACAACAGAAGCCATTACCAAGGTCTCCACAAAGCATGGCCACTGTAATTAATACAGCTGTAGTCTTAATAGTGAACTGCCTTAAACACCATTCATGGCAAACCTGCCTGGCCAAAAAGCCCCTGGGAGTAGCAGCACATGAGCAACATAAAAAAAAAAATAGAAATATAACAAAGAAGTTCTTCAGGATCCCAACTAAGAAACAGTACTGTTTAATTGCAAAGTACTTCATCTTGCCTTAAAATACTACTAACACACCTGACTTAGGGAAAACATTTGCCTACCATTAAGACTTAGGTATTCCTAGTTACTCTCCTTTCTCTCTTAACCAAATCACATTATCCATGACTGAACTCTGTTTTATCTACAAAAAGAAAAAACCTTCATCCTAGTAAAACTCTTGCAATCTTACATGTAACAGAAAAAGCAACACGCATAACTAACTCCGATCATTAACAGCTAGAACAGCCAGAACATCTCATATCTCATCCCAAAGCTCTGAAATGTCCTTTAATTTCTGTGATAAGCATGTTTCATCAACTGACGTATGATAATTATATTTATACACATAAAATAAACATACATACACACACACCTCCACCTACCTTTAAGCAAAAACCAAGTAAAGTTGTCTAGTTCTTTTTAAGTGACTATAATACATATGAAAATATCCCCAAAGTTCTGGCTCTATGAGCATAGCGCAGTATCATACTTCAAATCACTACTTCCACGAGACAAACATTAACAATGAAGATCATATGCTGATACCTCTTCAAATTTCACAATGAGAGATTCATTTAGGAAAAACTTGCAATAAAATTATAAACTAGAATCATTTTCCACTCACTGAAACGTAATGGAAGCTGGAAAACATCTTGGCCAGAAAGCTATTACAGCATAAACAGTTTGAACAGGCAGAGGTGATCATAAACTTCTTACAGGTATGCATATGTGCAAACATGCACAGAGTCTACACCAACACTGCCTCGAGTGATGAGCTAAAATTTCAACATTTCAGTCAACACACAATGCCACTGTCTGATACATAAGTGCTCACTAACTTCAGCTCTCCCAGCAGAGTTACACACAAAAACAGGGAATAAGAGATTTTTTTTTCCTGTAGAATGCTGAAAATCGTTATTTCTCAGCAAAGGGCAAAGCTGATCTCTGAAATTCTTACCCTAGGCAAAGTGTTAGAGCCACCTCAGGTCACAACAGATCAGCCCTACAGTCTAATATAATCAGAAAAAGTGTACACATATTTGCTAGTATCATGTTGCCTCTCACCCAGACACTTGGGTCAGTAACAAGTGGAAGCAGTATTTCTTACTGAGTTTAGCACTCACATATTCCCAGGAAAGATCTCATCCAAATTATAGCTTTTGACATATGACAGAATACACATCAGCACAAGCTGCACAGACTTACAAGACTCCAGGGTCATACCCCACCTGCTCCAAATACAACAGTCCTGACTGCTCCCATGCCTACTGCAAGTGCTTTCATACTTCTACCTTTTCTCCCATAAACTGAACACTTCTCACTGATAAATAAAATCAGCACTTGTTCCACACCCAAAAGCCCTAAGAAACCATTTCTACAACAGACCTTGAAGATACTAGGCTCAACTAATACACACAACAGCAATACTCTTCTTAGCATAGTTCTTTAGATGACTTGATAGTACTGATTATTTTGGAGCTATTTCTTCCTTCCCGCTGGGAAAAAACTAACAGATAGAACTCTAGTGGTAAGTAGACAACAATTAAAACATCTATAGAAAGAGATCGTGAATTTTACTCTTTCACTATGGAGAGCTATAAAATTTCTCTTGTCTTTCTAGGCCTTGCCATAACAGTAGTTTGTTGGGGTTGGGCTTTTTCGGTGTACTAAATGTTATAGTTGATATGAACATGAGAAAGAGCACTTCTTTACAGTAAGGGTGATGGAGCACTGGAACAGGCTGTCCAGAGAGGTTGTGGAGTCTCCTTCTCCGGAGATATTCAAGGCCCACATGGATGCTTCTCCATGCAAACTACTATAGGGGACCTGCTTTAGCAGGGGGTTGGTCTAAACGATTTCTAGAGGTCCTTTCAACACCTATGATTCTGTGATATACAGGAGTGTACTGCTACCAAAGCCATACCTTTATGGCCCTCAGATCATTTTGATAACTTCTCATACCTCACAGCTACTGGACTTTTCCCCACATTCTCTTCCCTGTCTGGCTTCAAATTCAGATCTTTCTTCAGATCTGTTTTTTAAAAAAAGGCAAGGGAAATTCCCTGTAACATGAGGAAAATTTCAGGACAGTTGTTACCTTGACGGCCCTCATCATTGGTAAATAGTCCGGTATCACTGCTGCTGCATACACTGCTGGTTTCACTGGAACAAAAACAAACAAATAAAAAAAACATTGTTACAACCCCAGCAAATACAAAATAAACATTTTACTAGTTTATCTGAGTTCACAATACTTCACATCACAGAAATTGGGTATCAGTACATTTCATATATATGGTTCGGTCTAGCACAGGTCATGATGGCTTCCTGTTAAATCCTAGCAATGCTGTACCTACCACCTGACAAAAAGCAGAATCTTGTATCTAGTCTATTTCTAAGGTATCAAAAAGTAATTAATACACTGGCATTTGCCTTGGGTACCAGAGCTCATAACCTAACTATGACATTGTCTGGAATGCTCACTAGGAAATTAAGTGCAGTTAACTGCCATTGGGTCACTTAACAGATACTGAAAAGCCTCTGAAGTTTTGTACTTCAGGTTTCTTTTTCTCAAATGTGTTACCCAGCTGCATAAGCCTCTCTTCAATCTACAGCAACTTTTACTTCTTTTGCAGGGAAGAGCAGCAGGTACATTTGTAACTGTCCAGCTAAAAAGCATAGCATGACTTGCTGCAGCTGAATGCCACTCAGCACTGTGCATTTTGCATTAGCTGAAGCAGTTACAAGGGACTTAATTCTTGAACCAAGGAATTAAACTAGAAATTAATGTGTTGACTGTAAAATTGGATGAATATTTGTAGCAGAAATACACATGCAAGTCAGCCCCAAGCATCTGACAGCTCTACTGCTGATACTAAATCAGTCTTCAGGCACTTCATAGAAAGGCTTACGTTGGAGGGGACCTCAAAGCCCACCCAGTCCCAACCCTGTGCCATGGGCAGGGCTGCCCCCACTAGATCAGGCTGCTCGGGGTCCCATCAATCTGGCCTTGAATATCCCCAGGGATGAGAGGCATCCACAGCTTCTTTGAGCAGCCTATTCCAGCGCTTCATCATCCTTTAAATAATCTCCTCCTACATCAAACCTAAATCTCCCTTTTTTTTTTTAAGCCATTCCCCCTTGTCCTATTACTACTAGACTGTGAAAAAGTTTGTCTCTCTAGCCAGAACTAGAATCAAGCTCTGATTGGGGAGCATTGTTACAAAGTTCTCTGGCCTCCTACAGGGAAACTGAGTCATACTGACACCAGTATTAACAGAAAGCCCCTCGATTCACAAAACAAAAGGATGAGTGATCATAAGAAGCATCACCACAAATAAATGCAGGAACATAATTAAACCTTTTCAGTTTCGTTATGTTATTTTATTTTTGATTATGTTGCTTTATTATTTAAACGTTATTAAAAATTTTGGAGCACATTATTGCTTTTGGAAAATACACTCTTGAGTACAGCCAAATCAATTCATCATGCTGGATATCTATAAACTCTGCATCTTCATCGTTATACAAAGGTCATATAAATTTTTAAGGATGAATGGTCTGTATATCATTCCCACACTTCAGTATGTAAGTTAATATCAAATTCCAACTCAGTCCATTACAGAGTTTGGCTATCCATTTGCCCTCCCACATATGCAACAAAGCAATTAGGCCAAGGACCGATAACCACGAGTCATTTGTTTCATTCCTAGCTCTCCTACCAACTTATTGTATGACCCTGGGCAAATCTTAGTGTGTCTGCTTTCTCCTTTGAAAGCCTGAATCAAGAGACCTTACGAGTAAGGATTGAGTAACTGCTTCATATGGGTTTTAGCATCACCAGAGAAAAGGTGCCAGAGAAAGAAAGAAGTGTTATGTAAGATTCCACATCAGATTAACTGCACTTTAAGCATTCTGTCATACTGACAGTTCCTTTGCTCCTTACAGACACACATTATTGCCAATGCCTTACTTGAATCAACTTTCATGGATCCCACTTCACCCTCTTTACCATTTCACACTTCAGGGCTGAACACAAACTAGACTCCTCCACAGGCCTTTCTACAGGTCCAGTAAGCACTGATTAATGACCTCCACTTGCAAAGGAGGCTACTTACCTTAACCGTGAAATAATGAATCCTATTGATCCGACAACCTACTGCTATAGAGTGTTATTGATCACCCAATCTTTGGTTAAAATGGTCCTCATTTAGCAATTTCACTGTTGCAAACACCTGGAGCAAAGCATGCTTATAATTAAATAGTTTGGGGGAGTTAAAGTGAGAGGTGATGGACAGAGATCTCAGGTTTACCCCATTTATTCTTTCTCCTGAGCTATTGTTTGTGTCAGGAGGGATATTGATTTTCTATAAAAATAAGAAAACAAGAGGCACCGAGGGGCTGCAGAAGGTCAGGCTGGGCTGGAAGAGGAGGGGAAGCTGAACACTCTGTCTCTGTCATTTGCCTTCCAAGAGAGGAATTTTTTCTTTACTGAGAGACTGGGTTCCAATTCATCAGCTTAGCCAGGCTCTCGACTGCCACTGCAGGCTGTTAGGAAGATAGCTCTCTTCCAAAGAGTAAAGGCAACTGCATTACACACTTGGGAAGCAATGGCTACAATCCCAGGCCAAAACACATCAGCAGCAAACCAGCAAAGTCACACAGAGCCAGTGGGGGAGGGCAATGACCAGTTCAAAAAAGTGAAGTTATGTCACTTGAGAGTAGATCAGACAAACCACAGAGCTCTCACTACTAAGCACATCATTCAAAGTGATCTGTCAAACAACTCTTGACCATGATTTGCTCTGGCTTGAAGCTAAATCCAGATCATTTTGAAAGCACTCAGCTTAGACTAACAAGAGGGAGCTTCAGCACCCAATATATAATTTCCCTATGCTTTATTATGGCTGCAGGAAATCTCAGAGCATTAGAGGAGAAAGAAAGGCACAGTACCTTAGCAGTTAATTGTCACCCTTGTACAAGACGACTATTTAAACAAAGAGCACTTTCTTTTTGTTACCAGTTGTCAGTGCCAGGCTTTGAGTCATGTCATTATCCAACTTAGATACATCATCTTCCTGCACACCTTTCCTCCTCACAGTGTACACTGGAATTTGGCAATTTCAAATATTTCATTTCATGTATACTACGTACATGCCTACAAGCAAACTCCTCATTAAATATACATTTCCAAAGCTTTCTCAGTGAATCAGTTTATTTCCTGAATACAGGAGGCTTTTGATCTGATTTAGAACAAGGAGCTCTCTTAAAAGCAGAGAAAACACTGAGTATTTTATCATTTAAGGAGATCTACTCCTACATAACACAAAAATGAAACGGCCTCAAGTAGCACCAGGGGATATTCAGGGCGGCCATCAGAGGAATTTCTTTACGGAAATTTAGCTAGACATTGGAAATGGGCTGTCCAAAGAGGTGATTAAGTTGCCATCCCTGGAGGTATTAAAGAGACGTGGAATTATAGTGTTAGGTGGATGGTTAGAGATGATGATCTCAAAGGTCTGTTCCAACCAGAACGATTGTGATTCTATGAACAGAAATGGAACCAATACAGTATCAAGTTGCTCCATAGATCACTAGATCACAGTGGACTGGTTCAGGTACTGCAAGCTTTATTAGTCGCTTTTCCACCTTGTGATGCCAACATACCATTCTTTCTCATAGGTGTCCAATTTTCTTCTCCCTTCCTCGTGCTATGCTTGTTATACAGCTGTATGAAGTACCTCTCTCATGGTAGCAGAAAAAGCAGCAAAGCAGCAACAGCAGAGCAAGAGTGAGGTAAGCAAAGCCAGTTTCACTTTGCTAGCAGCGAACTGCTATATTTAGAGCAGCAGAGACCGAGTGTGATCCTTCACTGCTGCAAGGGATAGTCCGCAGCAAAGAGGGTTGTGTGTGTTTCTCTCTCCAACTTTGACCCTCTTGAGTGAATCACAGCACAGATCACACTTGTGGTGTTGGAGAAGTCAAATATTCTGACCTCTGGATCTCTGAAGAGAATCTCAAAGACTTGGCAGCAGAAGGCAAACAGCATACAAACACTTGCATAATAATTTGTTTGAGAGCAAGGTACAACTGAGACAGAACAAAGTGATATCCTCAGCACGGTCCTCAAGTAACAGTCTGACAAAGCTGTTTATTTGCTCTTCCAAATTCTGACACAAATAAAGCCTAGATAAAAGCCTGGTGGTTTAAGTTCAAGTTTGACATGATGGAACAGACTCTGATTGATAGAAAAAACCCTCAAGGAGCACTGTCCATCACTGCCACATCAAGTAAGGGCATCTCTCAGTCCATCACTAGCAACATGCAACATTCAGGGGCTACTCAGCTACATTTCGTTTTCTGGACTGCCAGCACACAGCACTGAAAAGATAAAAGTGTTTTTAGCAACTAATACCAAAAAAGGCATTCACTAGCATCTTGAAAAGGCACATCTTCCCTCATTTCTTAACCTATAAAGAACCAATTTTCAATGAAAAAAAAAAAATCACTTTTTTTTCTTTTTCTATCCTCTTAACAGTTAGCTACAATGCTGGTTCAATGAAAGTGCACTAGGATCAGGACAGAGAGGATGTACTACAGCCTACACTTTTCACAGCCTCTCAGAAAGTACCTTGCAGGAGTTTGCACTTCAGCTGTTTTCCACAAAGCCCTCAATAACTGTATGCCACCTGTGCACTGACAAATTGCAGTAACTAGACAGCCAGAACACTTAAATGAACCCAAACACATGAACAATTACACCAGAGCAAACAATTATACTTCTCAAATTCACTGTCTATGATACTGTCTATTGTAGTGAATACTTGTGAAAAGAATATGAGACTGTAACAAATGTAGATTGACCATTTCCTCAGTACATTCAAACAGCTTCCATCAGTCAGCAGTTTCAGGACTTTCTGAGACAAATTTTCCACTTGGGTGTAATGCTTATCAGTCCCTAGAAAATCTACCCTCCACATCCCCCTTTTGGATACATACAAATTTTTGATCTCCAAAATGTCCCACAGCAGTTTTATGAAAAAAAAAAAAAAAGTTTTGTATTGAACATCTCCTGCTTCTTAAACAATGATAGTCCCTATTTCCTTTCTCTATGCCATTTGTTACAACTCTTCCATTTGACTCGCAGCAGTTGTTTCTCTTCTAATCTGAAAAAATCTTTTCGTAAAGGAGTTATATAACACTGAACCTTCTATGGAGAGAATAAAAATCAAACTCAAAGGGAAAACTTCTCAAGAGTGATGCACAAATTCAGGCCATGACATTTACGCTTCTCGTTTTCAACTCTTGTACAAAACTGCATCACTAGTTCATCAGTTCTTCAAAACTGGACACAAATATAAGCCAGACTCCACTGTTCATAGACTTACTCTGCAAATATTCCATTTTACCCAACTTCTTTATCTTCTCACTACTTTCTTGCCACAGCTAGCCTGTCAGAACCTTATTCTAAATCTATAGCAGAAATGTAGAACTGCAATGAAGATGCTTTGACAGAGGTTCATACAGTACCTGCACAGAGTTCTAGCATTCATTATCTGCTCAGTTCTCTGTTACTGCTTATGGTAAACTCTGAAAACAAGAAACTGCAAACAGATCATATCAATTAGACAACATAAGTACCAACAGTGGATTTATCTGCCAAACCTCAGGCCACAAGCATGCCATTTCGTAGCAGAAGGACCACAGAATTTTCAAAGAGCTGCTTGTGTAATACCAGCCAGAAACATAACAACTTGCTAGCTTTTCAAAGAAAGTGTTTGAGTCATCACCACGGCACTGACAGGAAAAGACTGTTGGGAAAAAAAAATCTAAACTTTTAAAGTAGCTGAGGGATTTTCCCTCCTTTTAAAAAGAGAATAGCACTGAATAAGTTTGGAAAGAACTTCTAAAAGCAAGGATTTACAAGTAGCTGCAAGCAAGGAAGCCATCTAGCTCTAGCATGGGAAAGAAACAAAGACCTCACCATTCAGACATATTTTCATCTGAGCCCTGCTTCTGTTCATCAGCTTCACACTCCATTCGCTCCTTCCTTCCCCCCTTGCTGAGGAAGGGCCTGTTCTCTCCCGATTCACAAAGGCCACGACTGGATGATGTCCACGGGGCATTTTCCTTCCAGCGCGAAAGACGCTGTTTCTTTGCTGACTTGAACCTGCAGCCCCTCTCATAGTTCCACTCTGACACCCTGAGCTTTTGCTGGAGACTGGCAGCCACTTCTGATGTCACGCGTTTGACTTTCCGGCGGCGCCTAAGAGGCCGGCAGGGTGCATTCTCTGTAAAGGAGTCTGACTCATGCCACGAGTGTTGCTTGCTCCTCAGGGTGGCACTGAGAGCTGGATGTCGCTTGACCGCTGTCATGTCATCAGAGTCACTGAAATTGGCTGTCAGCACCTCACGGCAATCCTTCACAGCTTCATCCAAGCTGGACTCGGAGGCCTCACTGTAGCAGCAGGCGTGCTCTGCCTGATGTGTGAAGTCTGAGCGTCGTTTGCGACCCCGCCTCTTGCGAAGCTGGCGTCGCTGCTGCCGCGGGCTTAGGGCCATCTCTTCCCATAGCTCATCCAGCTTGTTTTGCTCTGAAGTCTGTTCTAAGGCTGAGGCCAAGTCATGCACAAGTTCATCCATTGGCAATGCCTACTAAAAATGACAGCGAACAATTAGCACCAGACATAAATGCTGTCACAAACACATTGCTAGACTACAGCATACTATAGCAGAGTTACACACTTACTTTGAGTTGCCTGGGAGAAACAGTGCAATATAACTGCTGTTTCTTGGGCTAACATTCACTCCTTCCTTTTGCAGGGGTTAAATCCCACTTCTAACCACGGGGGCGGAGATGTCACCAATGCAGCAGTTGGGTCAAGTGCTCTGTATCTGAAAAGGCCTTACATCTGTATCTTTTGCTTGGAAGGAACATGTTCCATTATACATCTTAAGGGTAAGACAGCCCACAGCTAGTTTGCTACCTGGTACGTCTGTGTCAGTTACTGTAAGCCACAAAGAAGGGTTAGCAGCTGCAGCAAGCAGATTGAAGTCTTCCAAAAAGTAGACAGGCGATAAAGCTGTGCGCAAAACAGAAAGCAAAAAGGCAGTCTGCAAATCAGCTACAACGCAGCAGCAAACTAAAACGAACGGGAACCCACACTCCTTACAACAGCATACGTGACACCAGGACCCAGCTGCTAGGGGCAAAACCCCCAGCCTTTCCACCTCCAGACTGCCAGCGAGCCCATCCTAAGGACTTGGCCAAACTCCGACGCTGCCCGTGACCGCCCCACCTCCGGCACTTCAGGCTCTCGTACTCGGCCACCTCGCCCAGAACACCCGCAGCCCCGTTCCGGAGCAGCCTTGGCTGCCGCAGGCCTCCTCCTCGGCCCAGGCGCCCGGAAGGCCACACCGTAACGCCTCCCTCTCCCGCTCCCCGCTCCGAGGAGAAGCCGGCGCTCTGCTACACGCCGCCGGGCAATCCCCGGCCCGGCACAGCCCGCCGCGCCCCGAGGCCGCACCGGGAGGGGCGTTCCGAGCCCGGCAGCCGAGCGCCGACGCCCCACGCCGACCCCACCGCCGGGCCGCGGCCCCCGACCCCACTCACCGGGCAGCGCCCGCTCCGCCAGCCCCTCGCAGCGGCGCTTCCGGCCTTCCCGGGCCACTTCCTCCCCGCCCTCCCCGCCGAGGGGCGGGCCTGGCTCGGGGGCTGGCCCGGCGTGGGGCGCTGCACCGCCCGGCAGCGGGGCGGGTTGAGGGGCGGCGTGCGGGTGTGTGCTGGGTGCTGCGGGCCGTTATAAGCCGTTACGGACCGTTACTTAGCGAGGAGAGGTGCTCGGATAGGCGTCGCTGCGCGGGATAGCCGCGTTAGTTCATCTTTCACGGGTCCTTCCCTTCAGCCTTTGCATAGAATCATAGAGTCGTTGGAGTTGGAAGCGACCCTTAAAGCCATCTAGTCCAACTCCCGGAAACGTGCAGGGACGCCTGCAGCTCGGTCGCGGCGCTGAGAGCCCCATCCAGCCTGACGCTGTCTGTGTCCAGGGAAGGACATACGCTGCATCCCTGGGCAACCTGTTCCAGGCCTTCACTACCTTTATTGTAAAAAACTTCCTTATACCCAATTAAATCTCCCCTGTTCTGATTTGAAACCATTTCCCCTTTATCACAGACCCTGGTAAACAGTCTGCCCCCTTCTTTCTTGTAGCCCACCTTCAGATACTGGCAGGCCACTCCCAGGTCTCCCCGCAGCCTTCTCTTCCCCGTGCTGAACAGCCCCAGCACTCTCGCTTGTCCTTGTGTGGGAAGTGTTCCATTCCTTGGATCAGACCCTTGGCTGGGGACAACCATGAGGTGCCTCAATGCGGTGCTACATCAGGCAGGAGAGTTGTCCACGAGGCCCTGTCCCTGCAGGACTCACTGCTGAGATTCAAAATCACCAAAACCACAACCACGCTTTCCCCAGATGAATATCCCACCTGTGTTTGAGTATTTCACCTTACAGATCACTTCACAGCTCTAGAGTCAGCAGAAACCAGGCCCGGTGCACAAGGCCTCTCCTGGTGCTGGGTGCGCAGGCATCCCTTGATTTAGAGGGTGTATGTTATCAGTTGCCATTGGTTTATGAAGTTCTTATTTATGGAAATATCAGTCCCTGGCTTATCTGACCCCTGGCCTGCTTGTGAATGGAAGTAACACATGCCCTGCTGAAAGCTGGTGTTTCTTATTGATTTTTTGAAGATTTGTGTAGGTCCCGCTGTCGGAGTCCCAGCCCATGTCTCCACAGACCATTAGCTGCTAATAGAAGCTGAATGTTCTTCAGCCATGTGCTTCCCCTTTTTGCTGCTTGATTTTTTTTCTTTTTAATTGTAAGATGCAGTACTAAAACTGCATTTCATACAGAATTTGTGTATCTGGATTTGTATATCTGGATATACACTGGATTTGTACATCTGGATGGAACTTAGTTTTGTTATTTTCTATAATAAACCTCTCTGTGCAATTTCCTTCTCCTTAAATCTGCACCTCCTTCCATCACATGTGCCTGTTATCTCCCCAATTTATGGATCATCGGCAGCCATCAGAGTCAAGCCGAGTGTGACCCCAGTTCCATTTTTTTCAGCATTCCCTTTTGTTTCTTGTCTTTCTGTTTATTTAATCCATGTGGCAGCATTCATATTCAAGGCAATATTAATTCATTTTTCAAGTCATATTTTACAAGGCAGTATATGAAAGGATTTGTTGAAGCCCAGATATATTATGTACGTGGCATTCTCTTCATTCACTAATTTTGTAAATTAAGTCAGAGAAAGTAATCAGGTTTGTCTGACATGATTTGTTCTCTATAAATCTCCGCTGCTGCTCGTTGCTCATAGATCTGTTATCCTTTGCATTTTTACATTTTTTTCCCGCTTCTATTTATTCCTTTATGAGGCCAGGAACAGAAGTTTTACTGAAAGGGTGATAATTGCCAAGATCATGACTTCCTTCCTGCTTCCCCCTGATACCATGCTT